TGCAACACATCTTTGCAGAGTTAAACCAATATTCTGCAACAAGTGTGCGCACGAGAGCACAGATGATCACAGAGGCCAGAGCACTGGATATCCCTGGGGCTGAAATTACAGGCAGCTGTGTGCTGGGAATGGGACTGGAGTCTTGCAAGAGCAGTAAGTGCTCCTAACCATGGAGCTATCTCTCGGTCCAGCTCCGCCACCTGTTTCTTGAGTAGCTTGGGTCTAGGTTCTGAGATCAGTAGTTTCCTAAGGCACCCAGGTAGCCCGCATATGGAAGCCCCAGGGCAGCTCTGGGTCTTGAACCCGACAGCTTAGCTTCCCCTATGATCCTGGATAGTCTGTCCACCCCCCCCCCCCCCCCCCCCCGTCTCTGCAGGAGACATCCTTGTTTCCCTCTGATCTGTCCCCTCTTTTGTCATCTGTGGTTCAGTTTGAGAAGCAAATTTACTCTGATCCATGATTAAAGAGGGTCAATGGGGTTGGCCTCATCTAATTGTGTACACCGGTCAGCCTGTGTGAGGTTGTTAGTTCCACTCCGGGTGCTGTAGCCAGAGGTCAGCGTGTCAGGCATCTGGGCAGGAGTGATGGGCAGGAACGGGGGACTAGGAACTGGAGCTTGTAAGGATTGGCTGGAACTAGGGAAGGGGCTGAAAATCCATGTTGGTCTCTCAGTCTTTGACTTAGCTTTGCGAGGGAGGCAATTTTCAGAAACTGTGCCTCTTTTTTATCAAGCTCTCAGGTGGCCTACGGCCCAGGCATGGTAAGGGGGGGGGTCACTAGGATCTGGAAGTGGGGGTCCTGGTCAGTTTTCCATTTTCATCTCATCATGGGGACAGCAGAAATAAGCGACTTGAAAGCCGGCACATAAGACTCCTTCTCGTTTTTCTGGATAAGATTATGGAAGAATAAAGAGGGAGTCCGAGCACACAGTCTTTTTATGAGACGCAAGTAGACAGAAGCAGGCTCTCGGAAATGCCTGCGCGTGTCTGCCTTCCTATTTACTGGGGAAGTTCTTATATGACTGCTGTTTACAAAGTCAGACGAGTTTATAAGGACTCGGAGATGGAAGTTTATAGAGAGGGTTTCGTGTGTCTTGTTTACACACTAATTTTCTAAACCTTCTCTTCTGCTCCTCAGTTGTGGGAAGTGAGTTGTCGATGCTCTCAGGGTGAGCTCCAGGAAGGAGCTTCCATCTTTTAGAATAGTCTTACTGCCTTCGAAAAGGGACGCCAAGGTAGGATAGCGGCCTTTCAGCCATTCGTGGCCTTGTCTGGTGTTTAGCCAGAGCACCGGTCCCCAATATGAATTCGGAACACACTCAAGTCTTATTCCCAAGTGCCTGCCCTGTGGCGTCAAGGTTCTTAGAGCTGGATAGAGGGGCATGCTGGCATGGTGGCTCCTATCAAAGACAAAGTTTGTAGAACCTCTTCAACCAAGCTGCCTGCGGTGGGGGTGAGGGTCCCCAAGAGATGCCAGAGAGCCCTTCTTCCCAAAGTTTCTTCCAAGTTTGAGCAGATGAGGTTTGGGGGAGCAGTGTGGCTTACTTGGAGGACACTGGGAAAGGATGGGAAGGACCATCTGATATGGGACTTGTCTCCAGTAAAGGGAAGAACCTTGTACCATGCTGAAAGTCCAGTGCTAACAAAGTCTCAAGCTTTCCCAGAAGCACATAGCTTACCGGTTCTCATCTTGCCCCCTCCTGACCGCCATCCCCAGAGTGTCCCTGAGAAGTGTACATGACAAAGGACAGGATTTTCTGTCTACAGATGAAGCAACTGAGACTCCTATGAGAAGATTTGTCCATTTGAAGATTTGGTCATGGCTAAGCCTGGAGTTCAGGCCCCCTTCATCCATCACAGTCACAGAGCCCCAGGGCCTGTGGGCTCTGATGATGCACATAGTTTTGGGGTCAGCTTCCTACCAACAACATATGTAAGGGGGAAACAACCGTTTAGATGGCTCATAGCTTTTATACAGATGGCATCTCAGTACCAAAGACCCATATAAAAGGAGACAAGGAAGGGGACACGGACTGTCCCTAGAACGATGATCTTTTGACAGTTTATTAAATGCAGATTTATGGCTGAGTCCCTAGCCAAACCATAGCTGTTTGTAGTTCCTAACAATGGAGCTAGAAAGAAATCTGAGGAAAAAAATAAAAGGGAAGGAAGCTTAATGGCCTGTCGCTGGGAATAAATCTCAGAGGTCACGTGAACTAGTACAACTGGAGTTTACACCTTCTCTCAACACCTGAATGATAATGTGGTTCCAGTGGGGGCCCACGGCAATGGCTTCTCTGAGCAAGCCCACACTTGTCCGCAGGCTCCTGGAGGCGTCTATGAGGCTGAGGCGCACTGCCTTGACTTTGTGGACAGCCACCTTCGAGACGTGGTGACGTAATAGCCCTGTCCTGAGACTCCTGACTCAGGCTTCTCCCAAGGGCCAGGGAAGGTTCTGGGTTGGAGGAGCTCTACCCAGAGAGATGCAAGTCAGTGAGTACAGGGCACGGAGGCAGAGTTGGGGTAGCTGCAAAGGCTCATTCTCTCCCAGATCATGTGGGCGTTGATGCATCTAAATCACCAGGCTGGAGTGTGAACAGCCCCCAGGGATTAGTTCAAGAACTCTGCTTCTCAGGTGAGAAGACTCATATAAGTGGTAGAAAGTCACAAGAAGGGACAGTGGCAGATTCAAGACCCCGCTAATACTTCAGAGTCCCTGGGCCAGGTCTCGCTTCTATCAGCATGCCAAAAGTACTTCCCTCTTTAGGCTAAAGTGTGTCTAAACCTGCATACGTCACTTTCACGCCGACACCGCGTGTTTGTGCTGAGAATTCACAATCCTCCATGTAAGCCATCCTGTCAGGGTTTCTGTGAAAGCCACCACTGACCCCGAAACTCCTTGACAGCCGCTGTCTAGATGACCCCGCTCACACCTTGCTTTCACCTGTGGGGTCAGGTGACGTGAGTAGACTTAGCTGCTCTGGCTGTAAAAACAAACAGAAACCCGTGTGACACCGTGAGATGATGGTTGGGGTTGACCCCCATTCTCCTCCCTTCACAACCACAATGAAAAGGGATATGATCCTCATTTTATTATTTTGTTGTTATGTTGTGGTCTTGAGACAGGTTCATATTCTATATCCTTGGCTCGCCTTGAACTTGTGAAGTGTAGGGATTATAGGTGTGTGCCATTATGTTCAGCTTGACTATTTTTATTCTTACTGTAAGGAGGAAAAAATCACCAGGGGACTGGGGCTGTAGTCAGTTGGTCGAAGGCTTGTCCAGCAAATATGAGGCCCTAGGTTCCACCCTCAGCCCAGCACAAACCAGATGTGCTGGTACAAGACTGCAATTCTAACACTTGGGAGGTGAAGGCAGGAGGATCAGAGGTTCAAAGTCATCCTTAGCTACCTAGTGAATAGAGGCCATCCAGGGCTAAATGGGACCCCATCTCAAAAAGAAGATGGAGAGAACGAGAGAGCTGGAAAGAGGAGAAAGAGGAGGAGGGGAGGATGGCAAAGAGGAGGAGGAGGGTCAAGACACAAGAACATCCTAACGGGTGGCGTCTTCTAAGTATAGTGCACGTATTTCTCAGTGTTGTGCTTCTAGTGGTTCAGTTCATGGGACAAGTCAACACTGTTGCTGCTTCTATTAGGTATCAGAAAAGCCTCGGCTCTCACTCTGCATCTTGAGACACCCTCATCCAGAGGGAAGAAGGACATCATCCCTACATCCCCAGCCCAGGGCCCCCTGCTGCTGCTGTCCTGGCCAGCGAAGCCCAGGGATGCAGCTCCTGGACAGTCAGTTTAAGCAGAAACAACCAAAATGTAGAATTTCTTGATTTGATCTTGGAGACCCAATTTCTTCATTAAGAAGGAAATCCACTTTAATTATTGGAAAAACCTATTCAACTAAGAGTATACTTCTGGCTAATTTTCATACTTCTATTTGTTTATCAAATTTATAGCATTTGTGAAGATGGGATTTTAAAAAATCTATGTAGATTTTTTTCTACTAAAAGATATAAAGCTGTTTCTTCAAAATGATATGCATCTGGCAATAAACACCTTCATTAAAATCCGCATTCCAGACAGCTGTTACAAAAAGAACATGCTTGAGCCTGGGTCAGTGTGCAGGTTGTGTGTCCATCAATGTTGGGAATTTTGAAATGTTTCATAATTAGTCATTTAAGAGCTGAAACATGGAGGCCAAGTCTCAGATAAGTCAGAACTAAGTGCTGAGCTCTGGTTTAGCCTGACAGTATGTGTCAGGGGCTATCAAGCCTTTCACAGAGAAGCCAGGGTGGTGCACAGGGAAAAGTCAGATGCTAGGTATGGAGAAGAGTGGGCGGAGGATGTCAGGGTCCCCCCCCCCCCCCCAGGCTCCGCAGGTGGACAACACAGCTATAAGTGGGCTCAACACAAATCACAAACTCAAGGAATTACAAGATTTTTCCCCTCTGATTTTTTTTTATGTGACTCAATGGCATGGCCCTCACATGTGGACTTTGAAGATGAAGTGTAATATGAAAAGGTTGGCTATGCCTGCCAGAGCTCTGGAGTCATGGTAGTGGGGACTTCAGCGTTCATTTATTCAGTCCCTCACACATTCATCCGCTCATCCTCCAAGGAACACCAGTTCTCCCCACAGCCATTGTCTGCCAAGCACTAGGCTTGACTCTGCGATATCACTGTGAGCCTGAAAACAGGCCCTTAACTTCCCAGCGCCTACAAGGGAGTCAACCTTGAAGAATTCCACACATTTGTGTTCTTTCCTCGTTCCTTATCAATGGTGTTTTGAAACTGTCTGAGCTTCCACTGCACCCAGGGCAACAGTGCATTCCTGGTCTCCCTTCCATCTGAGGGTAGTCGCGTATCTGGTACAGCCTGTGCTGGTAGAAACTTGGGCCGGAGTTCTAGGCAGGTTTTGCTTTCCCGAGGGAGGAGCTACCCCTTCCCACTCCCTTTCCTCCTCTTCATTTCCTCTTCTCCCTGATGTGGGGCACAGCCACCTTGCAGATCTAAGACGGCCAGACAACCTCTGAAGTGAGGAGTGGCAGGATGGTAAGGGCACTGGCGCTGAACCCCACAACCTGGGTTTGATCCCCAGAGCCAACAAGGTGAAGGAAAGAACTGACTCCCTTAAATTGTCTTCTAACCTTTCCATGTGCTGCATGACACTGTATACCCCCCCCCCACATAAACACACACACACACACACACACACACACACACACACACACACACACACACCTACTGCTGTGTAGACTGGATGTGAGGGTACCAGCTCAGAGACAGGAGCTGGTTGGGAGCCTCCAAAAGCTCAGCCCAGCAGGGCAAACTGGCGTCTCTCCAAGATTACCCCACAAACGCTGGCCTGATAAGTACAGTCTGGTGTCCTGTGTTTCCAGAACTCTGCCAGGGGAGACGGCGAAGAGGTAGCCTGTAAATATCCTCTCCACCTACCAGCTGACTGCCTAGCATGAGGGAGGTCAGGGGTTATCCTGCCCACTTTCCGGGGCTGTCACTTTTGAGGCAGAGTTGCCAGAGCGTGGGCGGGAAGCTACCGTGAGAGTCAAGGTGCTACACAGAGGTCACTTACCTTTCTTTTCATACCAGGAAGTCTGAAATTAGAGGGAGGAGGGCAGGAGCCACACAACCAAAAGCTGGAGGAAAAGGTGGGCTACTGAACTGGTCTCGGGAAACTGTAGAAGGACATGGGTAGTTCAAGCAGGCACAAAGGGTCCCCGGCTGGAGGGGCCCACATGACAAAGGGCAGGAGAGACAACTAGGCTGAGAACCGCTGCACAAAAGCAAGGAGGACCTAAGAACGAGCCAGAACCTTTACGTTTTAAAGAAGCGATTGGAAACTAGACCAGACACAGGGTAAAAGGCAACCACAGCAGCATAGAAGGTGTGTGCGCGCATGCGTGTACGAGCCTGTTGCCCCTGAAGGTGATGTAGAGAACTTGGAAGTACTTACTAGGTGGAAGGAATGCTGTGCTACGGTTGAGGTTGAATTCTTTAAAGTAGCTTCTTTCCAGGCTTGGAAGCTGCAAGTGTTCTACAGCACAGGCCTGGAAGAAACCAAGGCCAGCCTCCTTTTCCTTCCCACCCACCTATTACTGCGCGCGCGCACGCACATGGGGTGGGAGAAAGAGACAGAGACAGACAGACAGAGACAGAGAGAGAAAGAGAGACAGACACACACACACAGAGAAAGAGAGAGAGAGAGAGAGAGAGAGAGAACGAGCGCTTTCCATACTGCAATGGCAGGGCTATGGAGAAATCGCTCCCCGGTAATGAGACAATTAGCTCCCTGAATTCTTCCTGCAGGAACAAATCCGGGCCCCCATGGCATCTGTCCCCTCCTGTTCCTCCAGCTGGCCTCCTTGCCTTGCGCACCCCCTCCCGGAACCAGGCCTGGCCTCCTGCCCCCTGCCCACTTGTGCTGTGGCGGATGGGGTGCTGGGATGGAGCTTAGAGTGGCTGGGGCTTGGGGAGCGGGGGTGGGGCCGGGGAGAGGATCTGGAACAGTGGTGCAGGGCTCCGGGGAACTCTGTGTGTGGGGTGAGGTCAGGAACAGGTGCTCAGTGCTGAGCCGGGGCTGGAGTTCACAGGGGCCAGAGCAGCAAGGAGGTGCAGTCTGACTGTGATGGAGTCCGGTGCCCCTGAGCCGTGAACTCAGTTGTACGGTTCTCCTGTGGGGCTGGCAGCCGCAACGTCAAAGCTGCTCCGCAGCGAGGCGGCATATGGACTGCTGACAGAGCAGCTGCTAGGGAAGAAGCCGCTGAAAGGAAGCCTTGAGGGATAAACACAAGAAGCGCATGTCACCATGCAGCGCCTAAAGCGGGCCCTGCAGCTTCTAGGACCCTTCTGGAGGCAAGGAACGAAGTTTTAGGTGACACGCTAGAACCTCTGCCCCTAGAATGCTTGTCACCATTGTCGTGCAACTAGAATACCTTTGGGCACTCACGAGGCGCCAACCGGTTCTGGAAGCTACTTTGAATGCACTGTGCCTTGGATTCCTTCGAACAGCCCTCCAGAAACCCCTCCGTGTTCCCATGTTGCAGAGGAGCACACCAAAGGTAGAGAACTTTGGGATGTCATGCTGGCCACGTGACTGGTCAGAGACCTGTGGCTGACTCTAAAGCCTTCACTTGGCTTCACCTTCCATAGGTTTTGGTAATTGGGAGGCAAGACGTGGTGTCATTTGCAAAAACAACTGGAGCTTGCTCTCCCATCTGAGGGTCAGAGAACAAAAGGCAGGCATGCTCAGTTGGGTACTTCCTGCCTCTCAAACAGGTGCTGCCTTCTATGGATCCCATGGAATTGTATGGAGAATTAACCATGCCTGCGGGAGCTGCTTTCACCATTTTGCAGGTGGGTAAGCAGGGACTTGGGGTTTTGCCTAAGGCCTCTTAGGAACCCAGGCATAGAGGAGAGTTGGGCTCCCAGCTTCACACTGCAGGTCCTATCCTCTTTCTGCTCTGCCTGGAGTGGATCCTGTTAAGGAAGGAGTCGCCTGAGCTGGAGGAGGAGGGAAGGGAAAGAACAGGAAGCCGTCAGTGCGGCTTATTCTAGGCAGTGGCTGGTATCTCCCCGTATCTCCAGGCTGCAGAGCTCACAGACTGCTGTTTCAAAGAACATCTAGATTGAGCTAAAAGATACTGTTATTTTATTTTTTTCACTTGTCCCCAGCTCTGTTTGTAACCCAATTCCCAGTGGCCCCAGGAAGCCGTGGTTGGTCTCTGTCCATCCATTCAATGCCGCTTCTCCAGATGAATCTGCCACGGCAGTTGGGGATCTGGACCTTCGCTGCGCAGAGACAGAAATCAAGAGCCCATTCATCACACAGAAAACAGACACCTGACAGATCCAATTCCACGTCAATGCTGCAAACCTACAGAAAAAAACAGAGGGCCTCATTTTCTCAGGCAAGGGACAGAAAGTTGCCAAGTAAAGGCCATAGGGTAAAACACTAGTGGCACTCTTTTAATAGCCCCTCCCTTCAGGCAGCAAATCACGGCCTGTTAGGTTCTGTCTTCCAGCTCACAAGGCTAGAAGACTCCAGGTGTCTTGTGAGCATGGACTCACTGGGCTGTTTGGGTCAAGGGAATAAAACATTCAAACGCTTTGGCTTTTGTTTTTAATTCTAAGTGGAGGTCAATCTTGCGGCTCCTAGGTGGCCATGATCCTGAGTATGAATCTTGCTGAGCAAACCCGACAAGCAAAGAAAAACAGAAACTGCGGATGATGTGTGGGTTGAGTTCAAGAATTTCTGAGTACCGCAGTGTCCTTGAACATAAGGACGAGACTAGAAGTAAGTCATATCTGGCTTGCAAACATGTTTTTGAGATTCACTACTTGAGGCCCTGTCTGTGAGGCACAAGGAGACCCTGAAGGAAGTCACTGTACGTAGAGAGAAGACTGGATTTCTCTCTCTCTCTCTCTCTTTCTGTCTCTCTGTGTGTGAGTGCCCATCTGTGTGTGTTTGTATTTGTAGTATGTGTGTGCACACACATGTGCATGTTCAAGTCTGTGCATGTGTATGTCTGTGGAGGCCAGAGGACAACATCTGTCAGGTAGCTTCAGATGTTTGCCTGGTGAGTCCCAGGTACCTGATCCTGCTTCCCCAGCACTGGGGTTGCAGCCATATATACCATGCCTGCTTTTTTTTTTTTTTTTAAATTTCAACATTTATTCATTAAAACATGAGTTCTGGGATCAAGCTGATGTCCCCGGGCTTCTAGGTCAAGCACTTTAGCAACTGAGCTGTCTTTCAGTCTCCTTCCCTTCATGGTTTGAGTCACGAGCCCAGGATGTGCTAGAATTTGAGAGCCCTCTGTCTCAGCCAGGATCATAGGTGTGTGCCACCACACCCAGCTCCCACCCTTCCTTGCCTCTGCTCTGTCTTCCTCCTCGACCTTCAACTTTGTCTGATACTCTTTTGTTCTTGGTAGTGGCTCATGCTGTTCCTGGTGCCTGGAACATACACAGTTCTTTGCTGTCCATCAAACTTCTGTCTATCTTTAAAAGGGCAGCTCAGCTCACACCCTTGTCCAGAAAGCTGTTTGGACTCCTCACAAAGAGTTGATCACTTTCTGCTTGAGATTCCTACCTTGGCACCAAGATTATTCCCTGTTATTCCAAATTTGAAATCCATGTGAAACCCAGCAACCCATGCTGGGCCATTTTGGCTCTGTTGGCTTCACTTGTCAGCGCTGGATCAGGTTGAATGGCTCAGACCGGGTCCCTTCAGTTGCAGATGATGAGGTCCCTAACTGGAAGGGATATTTATTTATTCTTTTATTGTTTTATTGCCAGTATTAAACTGTATAAAGCTGAACTGTAAGCTCCATGGTTTCTCAGGTATTACATTATCATCTTACAATTGCAACCCTAGATTCATAAACTGTAAAGTGCTGTGGGAATGTTGGTTTTGACTATTACCAGGAGATGGAGCCCCTTTCCCGTGAAATCCTTTTCCTACAGATCTAGGATTCTGGCAGTAACAGCCATCCCAGTAAATTATTGCGAATGCCAGGACCTCAGTTCCCTAACTATGCAGAGTGGCCACAGGGACACTGCCTCATCCACCACTGTCACTAACCACCGCTGCCAGGCCCCTACTGGAACCACAGGTCCTGAGGGTGGCAAGATGGCCTCAGAGTGGGGCCATCGAAACTCAGCTGTATAATTTCCATTCAGTATGCTTTGATCCATAAGAACTTCCTTGTGGACCAGGTCTAGGCAGAGACAAGGAGAGGACATTTCAGAAGCTTCCTAGGCAGGGTACACACCAGTGAAGTGAGACCCACCTAGCGATTGCATCCTTTCCTGCCATGAGTCACTCATTGAGGTCCCCCTCCCTGCCCCCACCCTCCCACCCTCTCCAGTGCTGACTCCTCTGGGCTTTTGCTAGCATCTCTTCCTTATCTGCCAATTCTCTACCCGGCTGCTTCTTAGCCTCTCACACCCAACCTATTTTCCTTCCTCCTAAACCAGGCTTCCTCTTCCCGCCTCTCTGCTTCCCCCATTCTGGTATCACTAACCCAGAGGTCCACTCAGACTTCTGTCTGAAGGTCAGTGCTTCCTTCAGCCTGGTTCTCCCCTGGGCCTTCCCTACCTTCACGTCTATTGTTGCTGCTAAAAGCCCAGAGGTTTCCAGAACTATCTACCGGGCTCTCTATCCAAACTAGACCTGCTTCCCTGCTTCCTGCTGATCTCACCTGCTGGGGAGACCTGCACTGTGTGTTTCTGCTTTTGTCTGCATTCCCCATTTGTTTGTATGCAGTTTGCTTCTTTTGACTGTTGACAATTGCTGGCCTTTCTCAGGACCTCCGTGAGTGCCTCGGATACTTGCTTTTCTATTTTTGACAGGTATCTGTGTATATGGTATGGGGACTCATACACATTTGTATGTATGTAGGTATACATGTGTGTACATAGACTTGAACATAGAGACTGGAGGCTGACCTTGGGAGCCTTTCTTAATGGCTCTTCTTGTTCATTGCGGCAGAGCTCTTGGTTGATGCCAGGGTTCTCCAGCATGGTTAATCTGTTATCTAGCTTGCTCTAGAGAGCCCTTGTGTTGATCTTCTGGGTGCTGGGGTCACAGGTGAGCTGTCACACTCAGTTGGCATTTATGTGGGGGCTGGGGCTCTGGACTTGGGTCCTTACACCTGTGTAGCAAATTCTTTGCCCCCCTGATCTGACTGCCAACTGCCTTCAGGGCACTTTTAAACTCTCACAGTTGACCTCCACGTCTCTTGATCCTGGTGTGGGGTTTGCCCTCCTTCATCTTGGTGAACGAATGAATGACAACTGCATTCATGACTCGGTGCAGAAGTGAGAGCAGTCACTAAGCGATCCATGCTACTTCAAGGGAACCAAACCCTGAAGCGATATTTTGTTTGTAATCTAACAAATAAAGCCTGCCTGAAGATCAAAGTGCAGAGCTAAGCCACTAGAGGCCAGGCAGTGGTGGCACACACCTTTAATCTCAGCACTCTGGAGACAGAGGCAGAAGGATCTCTGTGAGTTAAAGGCCAGCCTGGGCTATGCAAAATTGATCCGGTCCGAAAGAAGAGCTCACACAAATGTGATTCCAGCACTTGGGATCTGATGCCTTTAATCCCAGTACTAGGGAGGTGGAGACAGGAGGGATATGGCTGGGTGGAGAGAGGAATATAAGGTGGGAGGAGACAGGAGCTCAGATGCAGTCTGAGGGTTCATAGAAATAGGATCACCCCTTCAGTCTGAGGATTCGGTAGAGGAAAAAGGTCTTTCTAGCGGCTGAGTACACTGCTTCTCTGAGCTCTCAGCTTTCACCCCCTAATATCTGACTCCGGGTTTTTATTATTAAGATCAATTAGAATTTGTGCTACAAAACTCTTTCTAAAAGGCCAGGATATGCTAATCCAAGGGGCTTCCGAGAGCATACCCCTTCTGTCCATTTCTGGCCCGCATGCCTGGCAGAACAGGGAAGTGCTTTTTGCACTGCATACAGCTCGGAGCTGGAAAATGCTGAATCCAGAGGAACTTTGTCATAATTAACTACCTATTTGAAAGTACAAACTATGTAATTTGCCTTTAAGTGATCTTAAATTAATACAAATAATGAAGTATGCTCAGAATACTCCAGTACAGGTAGATCCAATTGAACACAATTAAAATTGAGACGGATTTATTAGTATTGTGACTATTATTGATTAAAACGGTAATGATAAATAAGGAGAGATGTTAAGTACAACAGGGAATTGGTAATATTTCTTCAAAGTAATCATTTTGCTGTGACTACCCAATTATTAGTACATTTAATGTGTTATTCAGTGCAATTAATTATCCACTTTGTTTCTGGGAAGGCACTAGGAAAAATTGCTTCTGCCTGGAGTGGTGGCTGCTGCTTGGCAGAGGGACGGGGAGAAGACACAGTTCAGGAGCCTCCTATGGAAACCACACTGTGTCTGTGGCTCCCTGGGGCTCAGACAGAAACTTCAGACGGCACAGGGCTAAAGGGGACAAGTGGGTACTGACTTCTCAGCCTCCCAGTGAGTTGCCTTTTGCAACCCTGGAAATGCCGGTGACGTAGACTGGCAGATGGTGTCAGGAAAGCTGCCTTGGGTTTGGACGGGGTCACGTGGATGTGTGACCTAATAATGGGCATGCCTCCCCGTGGTTCATCTTGTTGAATGGGAGCAGCACAGTCTGTGTGCTACGCTCTTGGTGGGACTGAGGATCCAGCCCAGCTGTGAGGAGATTGGATGATTCCCTGGGTTCCGCCTCCAGCGCTCAATAACGAACAAACCTGGGTATCTGTAGTCTCAGCAGCCAGGAGCCTCAGAAGCTCAGGGTTGCCCCCAGCTAGTCCAAGTTCCTGAGACTGAAAACAAAATGAAACAAAACAACTGGCAACAATCCTTTGTAAAGGAGCTCCGAGAGCTGCACAGAACTCCAGGGAGGCCCTGGTGATGGTTGACCAGGAGACTGAGGAGTTCCTCTCTCTCCAATTCAGTATGACTTGGAAGTTTGCTTCTGATTCCTGTACATAACCTCTAGCCGCCTGCTATAGGCCCCCAACAACTCAGTGCAAGGTGACTGTGACAGATTGTATACCTTTTCCCATCTCCACCTTCCTTTTATGCCCTTGGCCTGGACTGTGTGGTCTGCAGGACCCCGTCCTTTCTGCTGGAAGGATGGGGATGGATGAAAGGATGGTGCAGCAGGTATTGGGCGTGTCCTTGAAGCTCGTCTCTGTTTGCTTCCTTGTCTGCCAGCACAAGCACTTTAGTAGGGAAGTAGGTGCCCTCAGCCTTGTATTAAAGTAAGAACTCTGGGTCTAACATAAAGAGCTAGAGGGGAGAGCTATTGGTCCAAGGTCATAGACCTCAGAAGTCTGTGCTTGGGGAAGCAAATCGCACCCCATGACTCTTAGGAACCGTTCTCCCTGATTCACTTGCCTTCACTGTATCATCCCAGTGCCTGCATATCCTCGGAAAGTCGAGCGCTGACTCTCCTCAGGCCAAGGGTTCAACGGCATTGTTTCCTAAAGCTAATTGTTAGTTTTTACATAAAGGCTCTACTTGGCGAGCTCCAAAATTGCCCAAATTAGATTTCATTAAGC